CGGCGCCTCATCGTACCGTCCACCCAGTCGATAATCTCCTTCCGCCATGGCCTCGGCCATCACGTCAGCCATGGGCAACATCCCGCACATACCCAGTATACCGCCGAGTGGCGTCCCCCGCCACAACAACAGGCAAACAAGCGCCGCAGCACAGCCTTGACTGAAGCCGCCGAGCACTAACTTATCCGTCCCGCCTAGCCGAATGGCTTCATCTTCCAATAGAGAATGTATGAATAGAACTGTTTCCTTTGCGTGGCCCAGTAGTGTATCCTCCCAGTCGCCGCTCCCGTCGTACCATTGGTTGATAATGGCCCGTCTGTAAATGGTTGCCCGCGACCGCGGCGCAGTCGGGAAAACGAAGCGCGTATGCGGTAGAAGATCTCGAAAAGTACAAGCATTCAAGCCCGGTGATGTGGCTGAATTATTGAGTGGGACAGACAGAAGCTCCGGCGCAAATATTTTCGCACTGGAACCTCGGCCGTGTAGGAGGATGATGGTCTGCTGGTGCGGCTGCTTCAGCGGCGGTATGATCATGGGCGGAGGGAAGGTATGTAATGGCAATCGCGGCTCAGATCTGATGCCCAGAGTTTTCTCTGAGTCTACAGCCTCGGCCATTGGTTATGTGTTGACAGGTCAAGTTGTCTTGGGGCTGGGAGGTGAGGGAGGGGGGAAGAACGGGCGGGTTGAGATGACGTTCGGCGATGAGGCCGGAAGGTATCCACCGTGGCCGGAGTGCTTCCCGCGGCCGGCCGACGGGTGCGGCTTTGAGACGACGGAATCTGCCCAGTGATTGTATTCGATGGTATAGCAACCGCGCATTATCATTGCAAATGTTATTTTGTCCTTTCATCTGATGTAGACACACTTTTATTCTCGACGAAGCAGATGTGAAGGTTACGCCGGGACACTGGTTCCAAACGCATCGCCAACGTTTACAAAAACCAATCTTTAGGTCCGGGCATAGCGACAGATATACCATAGCCTGGTGATGGGATTTGAGGCACATACTAGTCTCTATCGTATCTCTATGCAATTCCGTCTCGGTATACTCCCAACCGTATTGATATTGGCCTTTTGAAGGTATCAAGAAGAGCAACAACTAAGGCATGGAGGTATGCCTGACATGAATACGGCTCGTGGTCGAAAGCCACGCTATTGGGGCAACCTGATCGAAGTCGTCATCCTTATTCCACCAAACAGGAACATATCTAGGTCGAGAAACAGTATCCCAGAGAAATGCTATCTCGATGGAGCCGCTGCGTTGCTAGACAAACGCCGAGCACTCTCATGAACTTGCAACTTATCGTGAGGCACCTTCGTTCTCGGAATTCTCAAGCAAGTAAGTTCTATCGGAGTTCATAGCTCCTCCTCAATGGGATTCGAGACCATCCCTCAGTTGCCGAGGGAGAGAGGGCACTCCACGGCACGTTTACCGACAATTCAGCTGGACGCAATAGCCTTGGGAGTGTCTTACATGGGCAAGCTGGCGCAACGGGCCTCATGATTGCGAAAAGCACAGCGCTGATACTATTGGAAACGGTGTTGTCTGAGGCAGAACTGATCTGTATACTTGTCAAAATGTAGGACATGGGTTCGGGCCCAGATGGGATCTCGCCGGCGTAACCCATAACCTCAACAATGAAAATTGAGAACCTCCATATCACGGCAATATTATCCGAAAAAATAGGGCGTAGCCTGAGATGGGATCCCATCTTTCTGTGGTCACCAAAGAGACTTTGATCTCGATCACCTGCCATTCTGAGCGACCCTCCGTGTCATGATTCAATGATTCAAAGGCGAACCAGACTGCACTGTGGTTTCCACATACTAAGTTCGATGCTTAGTGGATTCCGAACCCCAGCGCTTAGAAGTATACAGCAATCCAATTATATTTATCTTGTGTGCTGGCAACTGTGCCGTCGTCCATGAATGGCCTCAAATCCTGGATGCTCTGTGTATAGGTGAGACGTATAGGCAGCCGCCGCTCAGCCAATAAAGGAGTGTCATAAATGAACCGAGTGTCAGCCAGTGAGACAAAGCATACAGATATTGCTCCATGCACCGTCAGATCTATATCACGATAGCTAGCAACAGTCAGAACCTATAATGACAGGCACATCTTTAGCTCTTCCTCCTAGAAGCGGCACGGGAATCCTGTACGGTTTTGAGGGGTCAGAGTAAGCAAAGGAACAGTCATTCAATCCTCGCATAAAGATGACTGCATTGTTCTAAATCTACGTTCTGACTGACGATTCTTCTTGGTTGTTCGTTCGTGGGATTGCAATGAAGGATCGTAAGCCCAAAGAAGCACCTACAACTTTGGCTGGAATGAGTTATCTGCAGGAAAGCAATCTGGCCGGACAACTGTGTGCAAGACCATTGGCTACCCATCCAAATTGAGCGGCACACGACCCATGGTCCAGGGGTTCAGAGAGGGGAACGGTAGGAGACGCCGTGACTTCAAGAGAAGTCGGGTCCGATGGAAACCTTGACCGCCGTTCTTTCTCCAGTCAAACCCTGGTTGGAGCGCGTAACGAGAATCAAAGTTCAAGAGTCATAAGGCTGAGCGAAAGGCCCAAGAATGCAGCTAGACGTCAGTGGACTTTTCAGTATGCGAACCTGGGGGGCAATTGACAGCGTCGTTCCCGCAGATAGACAACTTTTACGAGGTTTCGCTCGAGATTAGCGAAGGGGTGGCAGAAGCTCCATACCAGCATGGTACGCTTGATGAAGCACTTTTCCCTCTTCGGAGACGGGCGGGCAGCGGCGACAACTGTTACTGGGGGCGTGACTGTGGACGGGATGGGGCGGCGGGCTCGGGTTCTTCGTGGAGTTAAATTTAGAGATGCTACTGGCGCTAGTGGCGCGCTTTTAACTCGTTTCTTCAGGGGGCCGCCTGGGTGTTTCTTTGGGAATGTTGGCCCGTTGTGCCAGCCTGCCAGCCTTTGTTCAGGGATAATGGGTGCGATGGTTTAGGTCTGGAGGGGAGTTTATTTTGGTTACTTTTCGATGTCGGTAGTTGTAGAAGTTGGTTCTCGAGGCTTGTAGAGTTGGATCTTGCAGGATCGGCTTGAATATGTCATCGGATAAGGTACATGCGTGGCGAGGGGCTACTGGTCGTACAGAAGCGAGTTTGCAGTCGGAACCCGATCACTAACCTTCAACCCATCTATCTCCGTCTGCTGTGATACCCATCAATATATCTGACAGCATGGTCTGCAAGCCTTTGCTGCAAGCCCTGCGCCGCCTCCATGCACAATATGGAGAGGTATCAAACTGCACATAGCTCACCATGTCGATAAGCGCACTTTCAAAGGCAAGCCCTAGATAGCCTCCACGGAGACCAGCATCACGAAAGTCTGGTAAGATAGTGGCCCAGTCGATACGATGGAGAACGTAAAACAACGTGGGCCCAGTGACGTTCAGGACTCGAGATCAGCCTTCCTCGCTGCTCTCTGAGCAAGGGGAAGCCCGAGCTCCTTTCGATCACATTAGCAGGCTGAAAAGGATTTACATCAATGATCGCATGTTGTTGTTATGTGGGTTCGGAGCAACAGAGTGGCCTACCGAAAGGGCTGAGATGCGGTTCAATGCCAGGTTGACGAGCAGAGACCACAGCCTATTGTCGATGTTGGCTCGCACAGCCACCGCCTGACAGCCTGGGAGGGCGGTTTGAGGCAACCCGGCCAACCGGATACGAGTGCCCACTGCTCTTGAAAGTAGGCCGCTGCACAGCGCGTAGAACGTGGAAGAGTCCAGGATACTCCTAGCCGCCGTTCCGTCGTCGGCTGCATACTGCCAGAACAAGTCGATCAGAGAACTCGAGGCTATGGAACGTTGCGGCGGCTGTGGCACGGAGCGGCCGTATCTTGCTTCTGTTTCTCTGCGGCAGCGCGCTTGCCTCGACTCATTGTCGCTTCCCTTCGGCCCAGTACCGAGGTCAACGTTGAACAGTAAAGCCTTTTGCGTGACCAGGGTCGCTCGCCCTCTTCACCCTTCTTTCGTGTTGTGAAATGGCGCGTGATGAGCGGTAGCCCCGTGTTGGCCTTGGCCCCTGGCCGTACAGCGGAGAATTATGAAGATCTCTGGAGTATTTTCGGGGCATCGGCACGCAGTCTGAACTTCTGAAGTGGCTAAGAGAAATTTGAATTTGCCCTGACCTCCGAGTAAGAGCACTCGCGCCGATGGTGGAGAGACAAGGGGGGAGCTATTAGTCGGCAAATGACAAGACACTGAGATCTCTGAAAGATGAAATGAGACTGAGAGTATCCGTATCGAACGGTTAGGTATTAGAAATGACGGTGGGAAAAGGGGCGGGCTGCACTGTGACTGGGCAAAGAAAGTCCTGTTCCCCGGGCCGCCCTTTGTTTCGAACTGTCGGGCTGAACTTCTGAACTCAGTTCGGAGCTTCGCAAACCACAAGAAGAAGAAATCAAGGGATTCCTGGAAGGATAACTCCTGTTTCAACCTCTGGACAGCAGGTTCCGGTTCGCGATAGGTCAGAATTGGCGATGTGGCTTGGTTCTTGGAGCGCTAGGATTATGGACTCTGTAAAATAAACGGGGCGCTGCAACATTTTGCTACTGGAGTTTGGAGATCGAGTGGTCGTGGTTGGCCGACGGTGGCCGCGGGGCTCGGTATATCTCAGGAGGTGGGATGAGGACTTTGTGACTCTCGAAGATTGATCATTGGTAGCCCCGAAATGAGCACGAAGGACAATCCAAGACTCCGGAGACGCGCTGGACCAAACAGATGGTTGCGAGTCTCGAAGCCGCCGAGAAAGCACATCTACTGCTGCATTGCCGGGCGCAGCTCTGCTTACTCCTACATTATGCGCGCGCACATGGCCTTAGAGCGAGTGTAGATGCAGGAATTTAGTGTGGCATACAGAGTCCGCGGGTTCTTCGCGAGCAAGGCATGCGAGCAGGAGATACCTAGACCCATAGAGTGCCAAGGTCTGACAATACTGTGTGTATGCTGCGGTGCTAAGTTAAGGTGCGCTAGGTTTTGGAGGAGGGGGATCTCCCACTGGACGAGCGAGAGTTTAGCCTCGCAGCGGGAAGCTCACGGCCAAACACGGCGCCATCGTCGGGCAACGGGGCCCCGAGATTATTCTTGTCTTGCTGTGGTAATGTTGTTGACCAGGGCAAGTCGGGTTGCTGAGTCGAGTTGAGCGCGGGGGTTCGATGGAAGTTGGAGACCGCCTGCCCGTCACTGAGAGAGTCAAAATTCAGAGAGAAGTCGACACGGACCGGCTCACGGATGTGCCGCAGGGATCACCGCTGCTTCACCTGCTGAGTTGTTGCAGGCACCGGCCATCAGGTGGACGTACGATGGCGGTAGGCTGCAGTGACTGTCCATTTGTGCCCCGGTGTCTGGGTCTTGGAGCCCCCTGCAGTGAACACAGACTGCAGTGCCCCTTATTTTGTCAGGCGAAGGAAGCATGAAATTGGTTGCGCTCTCGGCTTGGTACTCGATAAGACACGTCGATCAACGAGGTGAACCTGTTCGGCTTCCCTGGAAAAGCGAGGAAGCAACCCTTCTCGGTCTTGGTTCAACAACAGCTTGTCGAACAACAGCGGCATAACTTCTTGTCTGCTAGCGGACCCGGCGCCATGTGCCCTCTTGGAATGCTGGCGCGAGGGAACAAAGAAGGCGGGCGGCTGAGTGACAGCAGGAAGCTAAGGCAGGTTGGCTGACCCATCGCTAGACGTTGCCTCCAAGTCATCCCGAGGAATGATTCGCCTCGTGGTAGCAGCTCTTTGGAATGCACTGGAAACGGCCCGGTCGAGTCGAAGAAGCCGGCAGCAAACACGATGTGCAACGCAACGTCACTCATGGACGTGGTAGTGGTAGGCGAGGTGCTGAGCGTTGACTCTTGAGGCGAGTATGATGGAATCTGATCTGTCTGGCGGAATTCCGCGCGCTTCATCACGAAGCGTAGCGAGGTGTTTCTTCGTGTTCCATGTCAATCAATGCTGATCATCCGACGTCCCAAGTGGCCGTTGCCAGGAAATTATGCTTGATTGACCGTGGGCCATGGTCCGCAATGATGTATCCGTATGATGGACCGTATCCGTAGTGCCGTACGAGATATCCCTCGATGTCTCCATACAGTATACGTACATTTTGTACGTACTTCTTAGTCAGATTTGAGATGCGGTACGTACCCAGATACATGCATGGTCCGTCGCTTCCATTGACCTGGGAGTGGCAGAGTGCCGTCCCAACTTCTCAAGTGGTGTGTGTGTTTCCTGTAGCCTGCTCATCCCTCAGGAATGGATGGCAGCTGCTCTTCGAATCCTTGGACGCATCTCTTTCCTCTCTTTCTACACTAAGATACCGTGCTCTTCCGACTTCCGTCAACTCTATCATGACCAGACTCCCGCTGGTTGGTGATGCCTTCCACCCGGAATAGACTCTAGGAGTCAATCTCTCCCAGTCCCTTCTCCTCTGCCTTACGGAAAGGAGACCCCGGACGAAAAAAGAAAGCAGCGCCACCCCTCCCGCTGACTTTCTTCTTTGGGCAAAGTCATTGATTCCTTCTTCTTTCATTGGGCCATCTATGCAAGTGCAAATTAACCCTTTGCTCGTGGGAGGGACTTTGGGAACAAGCAACAGCAGCTCACCGGCCTCCCCAGTACCAGTCCACCTTGACTTCTCACTTCCTGGATCTTCAGTCTTCAAACACTCGCTATTCTTCTCTCTGGTCATGTCGCCACTCACAAGTTGCAAGTCTCCATATGGTGCCTTCACCAGTTGACAGTTGTGCGTGCACACACACACACATCAACACACTCAAAGAAGTTGTCCTTTGACAACAACAGCGAACGGTCCCATAACCCCCAGTCACTCTGACCTTTCCTCCAAGAGCTAAGAGACCAGGGGTGTCGATGGTTCAGGCTCAAGAGTCAAGGCTTGGCCGATGACCACCCCCTCACCCCCTTCCCAGGACACTAGGCAAGTGCAGGGTCCTGAATAAGGTACGAGGTCGTATTGATTCGCCCAGCTCGTGGAGCGTGGGCCATGACCCATGGAGACACATCCCACCCCCGTCCCATCCAGCCCAGGGACCAAGTCACCAAGACAAGAGAGAACGAGCCATGGCGCGCCTTTGCCCTGGTCTGTCCATGGTCACCGGTGCTTACCTAGTGCTTGGGTACCACAGATACTTGGTCTTGGTACCTGTTGTTGGTGTGGTTGCTCATGTTCTGCCTAGTTGGCCCAGCTGGGCACTGCTGTGCCTCATCTCGTCGAGTCCAAGTAATAAAACCATCCTCCCCGTTCGTGTGTTTCTACCCTTTTACCTCGTTCCTCACCTCTTCTTATTTTGCTTCCCCACGAGCTTCTACCTCTTGCCTTTTCTTAGCTTACCTGCCAGTCCCTCGTTAATCGGCATAGCTTTTCATTATTTCCACACTCTCACTCCTCCTCAAGCCACTTCCAGCTTCCAGCTCCTTTAATACTTGCCAGCGGCCTCTGATAAATATCCCGTCACCTTCGAACCTTTTCTCATCAAACTCGCTACTCGCTTCTTCCTTCGATCGACGTATACGAATCACCGGCAAAATGTTCTCCAAGATCTTCTCCGCTGCCACCGTGGCTCTCGCCGCTTCCACCATGGTCTCTGCCCAGACCTTCACCACCTGCGATCCTACCAAGAAGGGTATGTTTTTTTTCCGTCCTCGGTTTTCGTACCGCCGTTTGGTCTTCCAGTGAAACAGCCTTGCTGACTGATCTTTAGATTGCCCTGCCGACCCTGCTCTGGGCAAGTCGGTCAGTATCGACTTCACCAAGGGCAACGATGACTCCGTCTTCCGCAAGCTTGACGGCACTGCCGTGAAGTTCGAGGATGGCGGTGCTCTCTTCGCCATCAACAAGGAGACCGATGCTCCCACCATGGCCTCCAAGAAGTACATCTTCTTCGGCAAGATTGACGTCGTCCTCAAGGCCTCTACCGGCCAGGGTGTTGTCACCTCCGTCGTTCTCCAGTCCGACGACCTCGACGAGATCGATTGGGAGTGGGTTGGCGGTGACAACGCACAGGTTCAGACCAACTACTTCGGCAAGGGTGACACCAGCACCTATGACCGTGGTGCCTACCACCCCGTCTCCAACCCCCTCAACGACTACCACACCTACACCATTGACTGGACCCAGGAGTCCGTCAAGTGGCTCATCGACGGTGCTCTGGTTCGTGAGCTGAAGTACGCCGACGCCAAGGGTGGCGCCATGTTCCCCCAGACCCCCATGGAGGTCAAGATCGGAACCTGGGTTGCCGGCCGCAAGGACGCCCCCAAGGGCACTGTCGAGTGGGCTGGTGGTTACACCGACTTCTCCAAGGCTCCCTACAACGCCTACTACAAGTCCATCACCATCACTGACTACCAGGGCAACAAGGGTGTCAAGGGCGCCAAGGAGTACGTCTATGGTGACCGCTCCGGCAGCTGGGAGTCCATCGTCGTCAAGACCGAGGGCGGCAGCGACGACAGCTCTTCCTCCGCCTCCAAGACTGCCACCAAGACCGACTCCAAGACCACCCTGAGCACCGTCACCGCCTCCGGCTCTGCTTCCGCCACCGCTTCCAGCGGAGCCTCTGCCACCGAGGACGCTGCCTCTACCGCCACTGGCTCCAGCTCCGGCTCCGGCTCCGGCTCTTCCAGCGCTTCTTCCACCGGCACCGCTGCCGGCGCCTCCAGCACCCCCTCTACCGTTGCCGCCAACTCCGGCTTCATGAACAAGGCCAACCTTGCTCTCGGTGCCGCCGGCCTCTTCTTCACCTTCCTGCTGTAAGCGGATCCACCGGAACTCTTGAACGACCGTACATGCGCATAAAGACAACCGAAAAAAATCATGCCGCCCGGAGAGCGGATTGTACAACTTCTTCACTTCCGATCACGATCCTTATCACGACTGAGTTACGCATGTTCCTTCATGGACCTAGCGCGCAGTTGGGGCCATACCTTGCGACATAATCTGGTACTTTTAATGATCACGCTCTCCCGCGGAATTCTGTCTCCAAGAATTGGAGGAAGCTTTTCTGCGACGGCCTTGCCAATGTTTCACGCGAGAGGAGGAAAGTCGAACAATGGGAATTGCATTTCAGATGGCGGATGACTTTTTTCTTGAAGCAGCTGGGTAGTGTTTGTGGAAGATGGACTATGATACCTTTAGAGAAGAGTTGAAGAGGACGCCTTGTGCCATTTCGCCGAGGTAGTTGAGACAGACAACACGTTGACAATCAAAAACAATTCAGATTTGAATACTATTGCCAGGGCCTTTCGATTTGCGCGAATCTCACGTCATCAAAACTTATACAAGGAAGGAGCTCAGGCTCGCATAACATCGTCGAACGTAGGTGCCTTGGTAGCGCGACTTGAGCAACCAAGAAAAAAAAACACCGCGATTGCAATCTCGCCGTGTTTGAAGTTGAGCGACCCTAGCAGGGTCCCCCACCTGAATAAGAATTTTGACTCAAAGAGGAGAGGGGGGCCGGGGGAGGATGGATCCCAGAAATCGGATCCATTGCCACGCTCTACCTTATTCGGTACCTAATTTCCACCTGTGCACCGTGGCCGTCCTCACCAAGTAAGACCCAAGCAAGGAGACTTCGAGCGAGAGGCGTGAGAGGTCTCCTGTAATCAGGTACTAGAAAGTGTGGCAATGTGTGCCTGGGCACCGTCCGGTGCCGCACGGGTAGCCTAAAGTGTCTGCGCGTCTGATGTGATTCTAGCGTGACGGACACCGTTGGAGCCAAGGAAAGGATTTTCGTTTTTCTTTTTGGGGGGGGATGGGATGAGGAGGAAGGGGGGGGGGGAGGGAGGAAAGGAAATGGGATAAGTACCGCGCAGCAGAGTCGAAGGATTTGGGTGCGTGAGACTCGCCCGAGTCTTGTTAATCAAACTTGCTTGGGCCCAAGGATCTTGGTAGGCGATCGTCTCTTGAGTCTAGTGTTTAATGTTATTGCGCATCGCCCTGCGGCACAATTGTCTCGATTCTGCCAATGATGTTTTTTGCTTGGCTGCTCGCCCGGTTTCAGTGGCTTTTCTTCCAATTGAAGTCCTGCGGGAATTGTAAGATCCGTAAGGTACCCTGATGCGCTGTGGGAGGCCATATTATGATATTTCCTTCTTCCGTCCACCGCTTGTTGTTGTGTCTATTGTGTATAGATACCATCGCAATGAGGCGCAATTATGAGTCGTCGGGCTCTCTGAGCGAGAGGCTAGTCGTTATTCACGATTTCGATACCAATATCATCGTAGCATGGCCCGGGTTGATGGGTGACCTTTGCTGTATCCGTTCCTGTATGGCATGCCTACCACTTCACAGGCCTGGAGGACCGTGCCGTCCGAACCGACCAATCAAGACAAAAGTTCCGTTTTGTCCGGGCCTGGAGGCGGAAAGGGGGTTGACGGTGACAGGCGGTGATTTGCTCCAGGGCCCTTGTTCCTCGGTACGTGTATTGACCAATTTTTTAATTGACTCGGCGAGAAGAGGCGGAAAGCGGCCCGGGGTCTCGTTCAATATTGAGCCGGGGGAGATACGGCGACGGTTGACCCGACAGGCGAGGGAGCGGAAGATGCCCGGGGATGAAGGCTGAAAGTCGAGACCCTCATAGAAACCAAAGGTGCGACTATTTCTCCTGGGAAAACCAAAAGCGAAGCTATCGTGGATAGCTTCCCTTTGTGGTGGGTGCATGTTCGTACCTAGTAATTTTGGTGACTGGGCAATGCGCTTCCCAGGATCGGTAAGAAAGTATTCAGATGCCTGCCTGCCTGGGCCAAGGGTTTGATTTTTTTACCTGCGCTTTTATGCCCCCGAGGTACTGAAATTATCAAGAGGGTTGTGAACAAGACGTAAGGAAGCGAGACAGTTCTCAACTCATTCCAAGATGGCATCGGCAGCTGGCTTTCATGAAATCGGGCCTGCCAGGCTTGATGAAGATGGCTTTGTGAAGGGACGGAAGGAAGGAATGAGCGTGCATGGCCCCGTTGGTGCCTTCCGGTCGGAGGCTCGGGTGGCTTCCTGCCCTTCGGCAACGGAAGGCGGCAGGCACTCACTCCGCTTCGCCCGGCCCCTTACTCCGTTCCTGCTCCCGGAGCTTCAAAGTCGGCCGGCGTTGTGGACGGGTTCGTCTCCGAGGCGGTACCGTTTCATACCGTTTCAATTGGGGTATGTGTATACATGAACTAAAAACGTGGGCATGGCAGCACGCAGGCTTTTCTGACATATGCAGGTACGGCGCACAATGATGTCGATATCGGGCTTGGCTAGCACCGGTCTGCCGTTGGAGGCAACATGTAGCTTGTAGCCGGCTCATCGGGTTTCGGTGGCAAAAAGAACTTACTCGCGGGACCCTTCTCTTGGTCTTCGGGCGTGGCATTTCGGACCTGCCGCGCCGATCGGCCTCTGCCATGCGGATCTCGCATGGCTGCTGTTACTAGGAAATCAAGCAATGGCCGGCGCGGACGTCATCACCGACGATCGCGGCGCCGGTCCCCTTCTGACGGGTTTGAGATGCACATAGGTAACACCCACCAGCCAATTGTGGCAAGGTGGAAGTCCTACGTTGTTTTCGTGATTTTTTCAAGCACATACTTGCGCGTGTCTTACCTCACGATTGTGCTCTTCTGAGTTGCACATGTCTGTTATCCCAAAAATGAAAACCATCTTCTCAGTGTGAAGTACAAACGGCAATTCGTTTTCACCAGGCGAGGACGGGAACCATGGGGGTGTTTCCGAGCAGGTTCCGACATTCCGCACGGCGTGGATATGCGGTGATTGAACAAACCCCCCATCGCCAGGGAGCGAACACAACCCCACGGCGCCCGCATCTAAAACTCGGGATATAGCATCTCGTATATTGCCCTGCTTCGATTCGGTATCTCCCCGAACGGGAGACGCGGGATCTGACAGCAGCTCGGAGATAGGGGATGCTTTTCGGGCATCTGCATCGTCGTTTGTACAATCATCCGATTCCTGAGACTTTTGATCGGGCCTGGGGATTGTATGAATAGTTGGGGACTCAAAGGAGCAGGAAAGGTGCAGTAGAATCCCGGTGGCCGCCTTGGTAGACGGGCATGCATGCTGCGGCAAGAGCGGAACACATCCAAAAGGGGGACTGCTATGAAAAGACATGGCCAAAGGCACGGTGTGTTGCAGCTTTGAGCAGGATGCATGAAATCGGAGTCAAATTGTTTCCACATGTGTGTTTTGAGGTGTTTTTTTGGGGGGGGGGGATAGAAGTCTACGAGATAAGTCCGGCTGCGTACTAAGCAGAGTTCCATCCTGCGGCCTTGCCAGCTGTACGGATATGGAGTACGATTGCCTCTGTAATTCCGTGGTCCGGAAGGGACCCTTGCCGGGCCACGTTCACGGCATGTCTAGAAACGGGGCATATTCTACCGGTATCTATCTTGTCGGTGAGGTAAAACTCTCCGTCTTCGCACCGGTAGTTGTCAGACTTTCAGCTACCATCTTATCTTCACAATGACAGCCAACTAGCGTGGCGGTAGTAGAAAGATTGGCATTTAGAATTCAGAGCTACCTCATCGTCGGATGATCAATATCCTCCTGGGCAAAGATAAGAGAAAACTTGAAGATCGATTCACCTCACACAACAGCCACAGTAACAAAGTTGGACTGAACCGCGGCATCGGGCGGGTCATCGGTGACGTGCCGATGGCCCCTGCACGGCAGACTTTGTGATTTCTCCATAAAAATGTACGTTTTCTAGAAGCTTTGACAGAAGCAAATCGAGAACGGCGAAGGCCGGTCAACCGCCGTCCAACGGGAAGAATCCGCAGTTGACGTAAGGGCAAGGCTTTCGAAGGGGGCCACAAAATCTCTTCAAATTCCAAACTGGAGCTCAGTCATCAATGAGATCAATGAGATGAGGCTGAACGATTCATTCAATCGTGTTGGCTGCCAAGTTGGTTTCCCCAGTGGCCTTGGAAACAGGGGATGATCGACCCGGGATGGACTGGAATGGAGAACATGGTGAAGAAAACCTAGAAAAGCTTTTTTGTGCAAATCCCCTTTCAGAGTTGTCTCAAACACCAGAGAGACCTGGACACCAATTTTTTTATCGCTCTCTTCTCAGTCCCGCCCCTCAGTTGCGGTGTGAAGCCACCCAAGTGCCGGAAAATACTGGAGTCGATGACATCAAAACACAACCTTTACTCGGGAACGGCGGCCAAAAGAATCCCTGTGCTCACTGCTGGATTGTGGACACATGCCTTACTTCGTTATCCATTCGTTCTTTGAACAGGTAGCTCCCCATCTAGCCGCCGCATTTGCACGTCTCCAGCTCTTCGTGTGTCGACATGTTGAAGTTTCGAACAGCGGACAGAAAGAGCCCGAACCCCCACCCTTCTTCAACAGCAACATCTCGAGCTGTAAGGATTAAGGACGTGCCGGGTAAAGCTCAACCGCCATCTAAAGAGAGAGATACAGGATCTAGACGGAGATGCAGATAATGTGAGAAGCCGTTGGCTCTGTTGCCGTCATTCAATACCGTCCAATCCAAGCATCCATGGCCAGGGTCCCCCGGTGATTCTTGATAGTGTAATGTGTACCCGCGCAGATAGAAGGCAAAAGCACAACCTCCAAGATTTCTAAGCCAGCTTTCCATAGTTACCCACCTCGGCCGGCCCAAGGCCCCATATCGGCCCGGCGAATCATGACGACGCATATTGACCTTCTTTGACGTTCCGTGCTGGAAAGGTTCCGCACCACCACGGTTCCACCCCCCTTCCAAATTGTTCAAACGGCGTCTCTGCGTCTCTGCGCCTCTGTGCCTCTGGCCTTTCCTGCATCAACGGAGTCTCAGTCAACGGGGGGCCTTCTTCTCATTCCCCTTGGTCCTTGCTCCATCGATCTCGAACCGCGGCACTGAGCCGCACTTAGGCCCATCTAGTTTCCAATCTATTCCCACTTCGTTCCCGCTGTTTGACTCCACCCATGTTGCAGTTTTTTTCTCCTCTGCCCTCTAACACGTAGTACTCGCTGTATGTTTTTTTTGCGCAAAATTCGTTATCCAGGCTTTCCAGCTTCATGGTTCCTTGGACGACCGGCGGCGTTAGTCCCTTCTTTCGCCGATGAGTTTAGGACTTAAGTTGATTTGCAGGATGGGGAGCTAAAGGTTTAAAGAGGCGTGTCATTCCCGCCTTCCGACGATATCATTCTATTCTGTACACACAAGCTTCCTGTTCTCTTATACATCAGATCGTCTCTTTTATAACAAGACAAGAAACAACCTTTCTCCAGATACCCCTTCTTCTTCCTATTTTCTCACACCATACACATAAATCACAATGGCCGCTACCGACTACAAGTTTGAGGGCTGGGTTGGCCTCGACGAGAAGTCCTCCGAGGGCAACATGGTCTGGCAGGAGTACGAGCCCAAGCCGTGGGAGGAGAACGACGTCGACATCCAGATCACCCACTCCGGTGTCTGCGGCTCCGACATCCACGTCCTGCGCTCCGGCTGGGGCCCCGCCCCTTACCCCGTCTGTGTCGGCCACGAGATCGTCGGTGTCGCCGTCCGCGTCGGCTCCAAGGCCGTCGGCGGCATCAAGGTCGGCGACCGCGTCGGTGTCGGCGCCCAGTCCGACTCCTGCCTCGGCCGCCAGGGTCCCTGCGAGCCCTGCGAGACCAAGAACGAGCAGTACTGCCCCAAGTCCGTCCACACCTACGGTCACTTCCACTACAACGGCGGCAAGGCCATGGGCGGCCACTCAAAGTACCACCGCTGCCCCTCCCACTTTGTCGTCAAGATCCCCGACGGACTCGAGTCCGCCTACGCCGCGCCGATGCTGTGCGGTGGTGTGACCGTCTTCTCCCCGCTTAAGCAGCACGGCGCCGGCCCCGGCAAGACCGTCGCCATCAACGGCGTCGGCGGCCTCGGCCACATGGCCATCATGCTCGCCAAGGCCATGGGCGCTGACAAGGTCGTCGGTATCTCCCGCAAGGGCGACAAGCGCGACGAGGTCCTCAAGATGGGCGCCGACGGCTACATCGCCACCAGCGAGGAGCCCGACTGGGCCAAGACCTACGCCAACTCCTTTGACATTGTCATCTCCACCGTCTCCTCCGCCAAGGTCCCCATGCAGGACTTCCTCAACCTTGTCAAGCTCGACGGCTCCCTCGTCCAGGTCGGTCTCCCCGACGACGGCGCCTACACAATCTCCCCCGTCCCCATGGTCATGCGCCGCGTCAAGTTCACCGGCTCCCTGATCGGATCCCCCCACGAGATCCGCGAGATGTGGGAGCTCGCCGCCGAGAAGGGCGTCAAGCCCTGGATCCAGGTCCGCCCCATGAGCGAGGCCAACCAGGCCATCGTCGACTTGGAGGAGGGCAAGGCCCGCTACCGCTACGTCCTCGAGAACTAAGCCGGAGGAGATTGTGTGTTTCGAAACATGATCGAACCGTTTTCTGGGGATGCTGTATATAAGATGAGGTTGATGACATGACTTGGGTGCATAGAAAGGGCATAGCGATTGGTTACATTATAGACATAGAGAGATGGACAAAATCTCAACTCAGAAGCTAAAAGCTTCGAATTTCTTATGATCTGGTTTACTCTTATCCGTGATTTTTCTACTTACAAAATGAGTCTGCCTCTAAAGGTAGCGTTCACTGGAAACTCCAAAATTGAAAAGAGTCCCTCGATTAGCTCCGTTGAGAGTAGCCCTTTGTAGATATTTCTGAAAGAAATCGAGATTTCCCGGTCTGTGAGCTTCGGTGTGGCTCCGGATGATGTCACTCCGCCTCGGTGAAGGAGTCACCTTACATCCTGGCATGTGGAGAATTGACATGGCCCCCAAACAACGACCATCTCAATTCAACTCGGAGCACTTACATCTCTCCGATCAAGTCAGACGGACTTTTCCCAACAGCGAGGCCATTGGATTTACAGTCCCCAGACTGCTGGTTTCGATGATTGGATGATTATATGCCCCTGCTGCTCTTGCTTATCCTCTTGCTTAGCCTCGGTGCCTAATGGCGAACGCCCTTACGGATAAGTAGGTAGGTTGCCTAAACGCACCGCGATATAAGCTGCCCCCAGACAGCATGACGAGAAAACCTCTCACGGGACTCGGTCATATCAGCTTGACTCTCAGGAGGCTATCTACATCCTTAAGCCTAAAATCACCTAGTTCGTAGCATCCGTTCAAAGCATTCAATCACACCTCACTAATCACTCCCCAATAAAGCCCTTTGCCGTCCAATCTCCTTAAAAGCCATGGCCCCCCATAACGACGTCGCCGCATTCCACGAGGCACTGGCCTCAAGCAAGCGTATCCTCGCCCTCTGCGGCGCCGGCCTCTCTGCCTCGTCCGGCCTGCCGACCTTCCGCGGCGCCGGAGGACTCTGGCGAAACCACGACGCCACGGACCTAGCGACTATGAAAGCCTTCCGCCGGGACCCGGGTTTAGTGTGGCTGTTCTACGCGTACCGGCGACACATGGCTCTATCAGCGAAGCCGAACAAGGCGCATTATGCCCTCGCTGCGCTGGCGGAAAAGAATCCGGATTTCTTGTGCCTGACGCAGAACGTTGACGGTGAGAAGGACTCCAACATGTTCCCCTGAAAAGAATTAAAAGACAGCTAAGCGTTATTCTCAGGTCTCTCGCCAAGGGCAGGACATAAGGAGGACCAACTCCGCCTCCTCCACGGAAGCCTATTTGACATCAAATGCGCCAACCCGCAATGCACTTACATCGACCACAACAACACCCAAGACCCCCTCTGCCCAGCCCTTGCCCCGGCCTCTGAAGACCTCGCAGACCCAACCAAGACTCTGCCACTCCTCGACCCGACCAAAAAGCTCCCCACCATCGACGAAGCAGACCTGCCCCACTGCCCATCCTGCAAAACGGGCCTGCTGAGGCCCGGCGTCGTCTGGTTCGGCGAGGCGCTTGACGAGGCCATGCTCGACGGCGTCGACGCCTGGATCGGGCAAGGGAAAGTCGACCTCATGATCGTCGTCGGTACGTCGGCGCAGGTGTGGCCGGCCGCGGGGTACATTCTCAAGGCGCACGCGGCCGGGGCGCGGGTGTGTACCGTCAACCCCGAGGCCGAGGATGAGGGCCAGATGGGCAAGGTGAAGAAGGGGGACTTTGCGTTCGGGAGGGACGCGGCGGAGGTATTACCGTTGTTATTGGAGCCTGTTATTGGAAAGATGAGAGCGGATGGGCGGACGTATACGGAGGATTGGAAGGCTGAGTAGAAGAGACATGAATGCGGTTTTCGCTTATTTCTTGAACTGGTTGCAGAGGAGGGATCAATGACGAAACGTTGCCAGGGGTAATAGTTCTGTTGAGCGTTCTTTGATCTTATATGCCACTGTCAACCAACTCTTTGAGCCATCCGAGTATGCCGCGGTGGACTGTAGTCAATCCCAATCTTTTGTGACTTTATGGGTCCAAAAGAGAGCTCCCAAAAGTGGCCAAATAAAGGCCATAGGGGAAAGCCATTCCAGTAAAAAGGAGACAAGGTCCGTGATTTTATTGTTTTTAATCCCTCAAGACATAGACTTCTCGCGACATCAGTGACTGCTTCGTTATGGGAGGAGGTGGGTATGTTGCAAGTTGTGGATAGTGGCCTCAGAATATTGGATATCTCAATAGTGACACAGTAAGTGCTAGAATTTTGTGCCTGAATGTTATTGGGCAGTTGACTCGTCATTCAAAAGAGCTTCTAAGGTGTTGAATTTCGTACCAGAGCGGCCAATCTGGTGGTACAATAACTCTCTCATCGTGGAATTCAAGTGAAAAATGATACTTCAGCCACAAAAAGGCAATGGCCGATATCCTCGACTACGACACAGTGCCTGTTTAATTCATAAACTGTCATTCTGGAGATGTGTAGTCAAAATAGGGTACCCAAGCAAGCACAATGGCCCAACTTGCAGCTCGTCCTCGCCAGCGGCTGCCCGACAGCAACATACTAAGGTAAGCCCCCGCCAGGAACGAGAACACCATTCTTTTCCCAGGTCCCAGAAGCCCGGATTGACTGCTCTAGAGTACCTCATGCTTCACCTGGTCTCCATCGGGAAGGTCAAGTCAACGTTCCTTGTCAAGCCCGCAGAGACATGCCGTGGGGTGTGGGGGCTCAGCGAGACAACCCCTCGGTCAGCAGTGGGATGAGTGAGTCCTAATAGGGTCCTCCGCATATGACCTAGGTTTCATAGTCCTATGTAGGTGGTACGAAAAGCCCTGGTACGAGGCATGGCCTTGACAGGCTAGTTGGAAGCCAGAAATCATATCAAAGGCTATGGAAAAGCTAGAGGAGTGAAATGAAGTAGTGCGGTAATACTCAAATGAGGCTGACACATCTCGGAGGAGTCGTCGCAGCTATATAACTGAAGTTGCGGGATACTTGCAATGATAGAAGAAGAGAAAAGAGACAAGACGCACGCCAAATTATTGGCACTACAGAACCGCCGAGAACTCGACGGGAAGCTGATTATAGCATCGTGCGTTGGCATTTGACAAGCAGTAGGCGGGAGCTGCCGAGAGTAAGCGCATCGTATATCAGGCATCCATATATCTCCAAAGAGAAATGAGGAGACAACAAGAGAGCCTGGCTATTACAAAACGAGATTCAGAGGGGCAAGGAGAAAACAAGATCTTGTCTCTTCAACGCTATGTCTAGACGACCACTCCTTGATCGACAAGCCATTACCATAGGTTGGGTCGACTTTTAGTCCCATCATAGCTGCAAGACACGTGTAGATTCTTCCCATCACTGAGTGAACATTCGCGCGGCATATAGCGGCTTAAGAACGAGTGGTCTTCCTGGACTTCCAAAAATTCTAATGACCCTAACACGATGGGAATAGCCCCTGACAACTACACGGAAATCTATACCCAACCGGGGGTAACAGTGATCGTTCTCCGCTCGCCTTATAATCCCAGCGAGTAGAATCACAAACTGACCAAATACGGACGAGATTGGTGCCAGCGATGTTAGGCTCCGTGGAAGGTCAAAATGTCAGGATTCGCACCGCATGACGCCCCGCCCCCGGATTTCCAAGCCTGCAGACGTGGCACAGGCGGCTCGCTGCTGATCTTTGTGAGGGCGATGTGGTGCCAAAACCCTGATTCCACCCGTTGAAGGCTTGAATGCCGGGGCCTGTGTTGTGTAATACGATTGGGTTGCCATCTCAAGATGCCCGATTTACATGACGACATGAGATTTCTTGCGAAGCCGAGATAAATGCGAAGGAAGCCATTGACATAATGACGGGCATGATTCTCCATCAATCATAGACAGGGGAGAATGTAATATTCCAGACCATAGGGTGTGAAACACGACGTCGATGAAGGCGACATATCGTGCGGCTGAAGAGCAGACTGTAATCCGCGGGGAACAATATCAGATCGCTGTCAAGCAAAGTGCGGGGAAAGCTGGTCTTCTGTCTGGGAAGGGGGGCTGCCCGGTGGTGGCGATGTGCCGTTATCCGACGTGATGGGCAGTCCGAGTGAGTCTCGGGGTGGAAAAGGGGGAAAGGTCGTGCGGCGCAGCTGCAACATCAGCGAAACTTGCTGGCAACGACGTCTGCCACACCATGTGGGCGGAGTCCTGCTCCATTCTTGAGGGGGAGACATTTGGTGGTCAGCAGACACTTGCAACTATTCCCGAAGGCGCTAACGACAGTTATCAGACGCTTGACCGGCGCAACTGGACGAGCGGACAAACACTGTAGAAAAAGAAGACGAAATGCACTGTCGATGGTGGCATGAGGAAAAGGCCAAGACATCGGGCACAGCTACAGCTCTTCCACGAGGTCACGGGGGTCCGTACTTGCATCTGGAGGACGGCCGACGCAGGAATATGGATCCGTAAGCAGAATAGAATACTAGGTTCACCGTCATCTATGCGCGGATGATGACAGGACCTCGCTTTCTACAGCCCCAAGAAGTGGGAATGAGTGGTGGATGAGAATGAAGTTGATGCAGAGTAAGACTGCAAGACCTGTAAGACTCGGCACGCGACCAAAAGCAGGCAGGCAGAGAAACACTGCCACCGACAGACAGTTTCGATCTAAGACGGATACATGTCGTCTGAACGCACGTCGTAAATCATGAGGGCTGCCTTACCGCCTTGAGAAGCTGGGAATCGTCCATGACAAGGGGACCCCTCAAACGAGTTGGCACCTGGCTTTCCGGGGGAGCTGGCACGTTGGCTAGCGTGGGGGTTAGTGTTGTCTAAAGTCTGTCGATCCGTCCAACATCCGATGGCACCAGGGCTGTTCTCACTCATGAGTCGTTACGCTTGGTCCTCTCACAATTCGATTTGGACGTTTGCAGGGCGCTTGAGGAAACGATGGCTTGAAAAACTATTCAGAACACATGACGAAGACAGTTTCTCAATCTGGAAACTG